TGTTTTCAAACACTGCCTTTAATCTTACTTAGCCTCTTCTTCCTCCCTTCCTCTGGCGTAGTGTCTCTAATGGCAAAAATAATTAGAATTGGAACAGAGGATACAGCCTTGTCTATTGCAACCCTTCCTCAATTAAAAAATAATAATAAAATAGTAGTAGGCAAAGCCAGAGGCTACTGATAAAATACATAAATTGGAAACAGTGGAGAAAAAAAAAGGTCCACTTAACAGTGCCATGGAAGCAGTAAAAAAAAGCCAAGCTGGTGGTTGCGACCCATGACTAAAGCCCACCATTCTATATGTGTATATCGACATCAATTCATCTACCAAGTGTAGGGGTATCAGTTACACAGTTGCAACCTCCCACTTGATTTTTGTTTTTTTCCGATAGCATGAACCAGGATGCACCAGATAGCAGAATCTGGCTATCAGAATCACCACAACCTCTGCCCCTTTCAGAGCTCTGCCCTTGTGATGTGGCATGAGACATCACAATCCACATGGAAAAGGAGAGGCTTGCTTCACAATGGGACAATGCTGCTTTTGTCAGTGTGATCGCTGATACAAAGCAGATTCTGTTGCTTTGTAGAAAATTGGCCAAGTCTTCAATTACTTGAAAGTAGAAACTCGACCTTCCCCCAGGCTCATGTAAGAAAGAACAACCACAACCAAATACATTTTTTAATTATGAAAAACTTATTCTATTTACATAGATGCCGATCTTACTTTTTCATACGATTGGTTTATGTTTGCTTCTTTTTCTTTTGTCAATTTGTGAACAGAGCTGTAGAGCACAGGTTGAAGTGTAGAAAATTATAGGGAGAACTGTGATGCTCGAAAGGCAAAATTAAAGCTGGAAGAGGAACGTATGGCACTTGGGGCAGAGATGGGGCAGTTAGAAAAGGCCTGGATCTCCCCAATGAAATGTGAATACCCAAGTACAAAGAAGGGAAGGTTACGGAAGCAGTGGTATCACGATAGAAGTGGGAAGGGTACCATTGAGGGTCTGCAATGGTATCAGCAATAAAATCAATCTTTGCCCCTTTCTCATGTGCATCCCAAACATATCCATCAGGAACTTATGTATAATGCCACTTTTGTCATTTTCAGAAAAGTGGTGTGTTCTTATGGCTACCACTTGGCCAATTTTGCACAGAAGTATAAAAGTGTGAAATTCTCTAAAATCAATGCATGGGTTGCTTGTAGTCTTCTACTCCTATCAATAAACCCAGAAACTGAGGCAGACAATATGGATTACTGGCACATAGATGTACTTTAAGATAACATCTTGTGTATGAAATATCATAATACACATATTAGCCTTTCGACACCACAAGACTCCAAAGTATTTTTTCAGCAAAAGACTAGCTTGGCTGTCCATTTAGAAATAGCATTAAAAGTGAACTTGTATTCTGCTAAATGTATATATAATATGGAAATGTGTCAACCAGAATTACAAATTGAGATAGAAAAATCATGGTCTTTTGATAAGTTTTATTTTAGCCAGCAGCTAAAGGATGGTAAAAATCAAGAAACCTGAAGCCGAAGCCACTGGCTATCCTTCTATTCTTGACTCTTTAACTTGAAACTATTTTTTTAAATGAAACCTATTGGAAATTTATAAATCTGGAAATTTGCAATCTTTTCTTCATTTACATGGGAGTAGCTTGTAAAAGAAAGGTGAGTTTTATCTCTAGTAACAATAGAAATACATCCAAAATATTCAACTCTACCCACTGACGCCATTGTTTCTCTCCCCCCCAGGCCTCACTTTGCTTCCCGCCCCAGAGCTTCGGGTCATGGTCTCGTCCCTTGTAGGGTCGGGTGCTCTCCTCTTGCTCCAGCTGCCTGACCCCCCCCCCCCCCCCCCGTGGACCTTTCCCCCTATTTAAGTTTTCTTTACTCTCATTCCCTCCGTCAGTTCCCTAAGAATACAGACTGGCCGGGCAGTTTCCTCCCCTCCCCTTCCCAGTAGTGTTAAAAAGGGAACCATCTATCCACTTTGCCCTTCGAGCAGAGGCAAACCTTCCAATCCAAACAGAAGAGAAAGGGAATCATTCTACAGACCCTTAGCACCAAGCTTCCCAGAGGATTCTCCCAAAGGATCCACCCCAAAGGAGGCTTCACCCCTTTAAATGCACTCCCCTCCTTTGGGGTGAATCCTCTGATGAATCCTCCTTTGAGAACCCCGCCCGAGAAGCGGCTGAAATGCTGCCAGTGGAGGAATGCGCAGCACTCCAAACGCGGCAGCGCATGGGCAGAAGGGAAAGCAACAGCAGCAGAGGAAGCAACAGTGGCGGATGCGATGCAAAGTGCCCCACCGCCACCGAGGCCAACATCCACGCAACCACCGCCGCCTGCCCACTGACCCGGCCTGCACCCAGCACTATACCCAGGTCTGCAGCAAAGGCACTTGGTGGGGGTAGGGAGCTCTCCACGCTCTGCCATGATCGGCTGTTAGGAGCGGCTGGTGGCAAGGTGTGGCTGCCTGCAGGGTGCTCCTAATAGCAAGTTCCCCCCGCCCCCCAATTTCATGTTTTAAACTAGGCCTAAATTTGGGGGAAGGGGCTTCATTTCACCTTATGCCTAGAAAACATGCTGGGTCTTCCTATTGGGGGGGCGTATTGTTGGAGAAACACGGTACTGTTTGGAAGGCACAGGGTGGTCACATTAAACATTGATTTGATTTGAATTTCTCTTCTGTTCATTTAATTTCCATTTTGTTAACTGATAAAAATAAACTATTAACACTATTTCTGAAAGCATTCTTAATTTACAGCACTTATGCAGTATTTGTATGTAACATTTTTATTTGTCAAGTGAAAGTATTTGCACTTATCTCTGCTAAATTTCATTCTGTTACTTCCAGCCTATTTTGTATGTCAATATCGTTTTGAATTTTATATCAGTATCATTTTAAATTTTGTATCTATCTTGCCAAGTTATTACAAAGTTATTACCATGGTGATTCTAGCTAATGTTGTAATGGGACCTGTCATTCATGTAGATGCTTAACTAGAAGCCTTCAAGCTGGAGCTTAGATGTGTTCAGAGATCTTGAATTAAGGACTGACAGGATACAGTGAAATTACCTTGGAACAGGATTGAAGTCTTGGTCAATTTTTCTTATTGACCTAGTTTCTGCAGCATTGGAGTTATAATAAGACTGGATCTACTTTCAACAGAGATTGTAAAGTGTGTATTTTATAGGATCTAATGGAATCTGTAGCCAGGAATCCTACCTGTATAGTTTCATTAAGTACATTCTGGGATACTTGTACAGGGCTAGAATGGAACTGGAGAAGCCACACTTTAAGTGGAGGGCTTGATATCTATCTATCTTTTTTTTTCCTTTGGGAGGATATTATACTGAAGTGATGGACATTTTCTTGTAGAGCTGATGGCTTGGATCCTAATGTGAAGTGAAAAGGAGAAAGTCAATCTCCTTTTCTAGCTGTTTCCATGCACTAGTCTGCTGCTGTTGCTTGAGATTCTTGTGCACATGGATGTGTATATTTATATATTCATAAGCCAAAAAGTTGGATCTTTGAAATGCAGTGCAGTGCGAACCGCAGCTAATTTGTACTCTGTTAATTTTGCACTTTGAGAACTAGAAATATTAAAGGAAATTAATTCAGGTTCATTTTCTACATTAACAAGCAATGGGAAGAATTAACTCAGACAAATATTAATATTCAAACAGAGAAACTATTTATTTTTACACACATCCAAAAAGTATGGAGAAAGTAGTTTCAAATTTACACAGAAAATTAGTTTAGTTTACATGCTCACATCATAGCACAAGATTGTGCAACTTTTTAAAGCTAGGGAAGCAATTCCAAGAGGCTTGTGTCCTTCTAAGAGCTTAAAGAGATTGTAGCTAATGATTGATGTAACTAGAATGGAGGTGTATACTAGGATTTACAGGGTGAAACTGGTAGCATGTTGCAGAAGCGTATGGTATCTGTTGTGCTCAGTTCTTAATTTGAGGAAAGCTATGATTTAAAAAGTCTCCATTAGGTCTTTAGTCTATACAAAATCTGAGGCACCTGTTCAAATAATAAAACCCTTGTGGTATCTTGGTTAAGTTGGTCTAATCAAATCCAACCTTAGCTATGAAGGCCTAATAGGTGACCTTTGGATTCACCATTCTCCCTTAGCCTATTTTGCAAGGTTGCAGAGTGCCTATACATGTCATTTTTAGCTTGTAAAGGAAAGGTGAGTTTTATCTCTGGTAACAATAGAAATACATCCAAAATATTCAACGCTACCCTCTGTAGGTAGCCTACTTAACATTTCTAATCCTAAAGACAGAAAAGGCTAAAAGAAAACTCTCAAATTCAAATTTGGATGAAATTTGGATGAAATGACACTCTAGTGAAATATTAAAGCTGTGAACAAGTTTTACAGGCCAAGAGAAAATTGATTTCTAATGAAAGGGGAGCCAACGGGGTCAAAGCTTTAGAGACAACAGAGGAAAGACAGTTTACCTACTGCTGAAGCAGCATTGCCAAAGGATTTTTGTACAGAAAAATGCTGTTTGCAGTATTTGGGACTTACTTCAATATTTATAAAAGGCAACATGTTAAGTTTATATAGACATCATCCAGAAAGGTTTTCTAGGAAATAAAGCTGATGGTGGCATTAGGGCAATACAAGAAAAAGCTAATCTAATACAAGCCCAAATGATTTAGATTTAGAAATAGTGAATAGTTCCTATTGGTCTGAATCAGCTCTTGGATTAGTGGACTTATTTGACTGCTAAAAGCTATTTCCCTGAGCACTCAACATCTAGTAGATGCATTATTTTCCCAACAGAGCTTTCAGTCAATTCAAATTGCTGAAATCTTGCTTGTATAGAACCTTTCTTCTATCAATGGAGAGAATTATGAACTTTACTTCTCCATGTAGCTTCCAGTTGTACATAGTTAGGATTGGCTGACAGTTGCAGACATTTTGTTGAGATGAAATCTCCGGACAGACAAGAGGAAACCCCAAAATTTATGGCTACTAACCCTGCTTTTTCGCTTTCTAACATTATTGACTTTATTTACTTCACTTACATTGCATATATGTATTTTTTCCATTTGTATGGACAAACAAAAGCATAAAATTTGTTGCCATATGCTCATGGCAGTCATTACCTTAGATTCTATTTCTGTTTCTATAGATACAGTGCTGGTTGAATGGCTGTTCAGATGCAAAAATGCAGGGTGGAAAATTAACATAAATGACACAGTAACTCATCCACAAGATTTATGGACTAATAGCTCGTCACAGGTGCGAGGATCAATCTTGTATTTATTTCCTATGATGTTTAAAAAAAACTATTTTTTGCTTCTCTTTTGAGTTCAACTTACATACTTTACCTCCTCAAATTGAAAGAAATATTACAACATTGAATCTGCTGTATGCTTACTTCTCAGGTTACAAGTAGTTACAAATTAACTTAAGCATTGCCATAATACTGTTTAAAGGTAGTTCTTTCAACATTGGAATCTATGTTGAAGCAATAAAGCAAGTAAGGCTGCTTGATAATAGCAATAGCACTTAGACCAGGGCTGTCAAAACTCCTGGCACACGGGCCAGATGCGTCACGCGCTGGCCACGCCTGGTTTAGCGAAGGGGGAAAAAGTCCCAATACGTCACATGACGCTGCAATCTGAGTTTCATACCCAACTTAGACTTATGAGGTTATCCTAATGAGGGGAGAGCAGAATGTAGTTCTTTGCAGCTTTATTTCTGCAATACAGAAGATACGTGAGCTGTATGATCATAGATTTTGATCATGTCCCTAGATTATATACTTGTACAAAAAGTCACTTAATTGCAATAGTTTAATTGCAGAATGCCTGTTTATTCAGGTAATCTATGAAATTTAGTTTTCAAGAAGCATCTTTTATATTGCTGAGAAAAGAAAATGCCCAATTTTTGTTATCATATATTTATGTCACCAAGAAGCCAGGGGAACCTAGTCTTCTGTGGTTAAAAAAGGAATTTATCTTAATGCTAAAGTTTGATTTTCCGCATCAAACGGTCTACGAATTTTTACCTCGTCTTTTTAGAAAAAATGAAAGAAAACATCTTGTAACTAGGCAACTGAGAACATAATTTCCCTTTCCTTTAGTCCTGAAAAAATGGTAAGGTTGTATCTTCAGCAATGCAGAATAGTGGGAGTGCAATAATGCTCTGGAAGTCTTAATAATAATTAGTCTATTCCATTGTGAAACTGAACCCAACTGTTTTTCTCTTCTACTCTAGAAATTGTTAGCTGATGGCCTTTGGATTATTCCCTCACTGATTTCCACCCCCACAATCCTTTATGGGCTTGTTTTATTGCAAATGTATTTTTCCTGGGGGGGGGGGGGGGGGAGAGAAAACAGATTCTAACTATAGTTAAGAAGAAAAAAAATGTAGTCATTAGATTCTTTCTCTATAAAGGCTCAATCCAGCTAATATCAAATTAATTGAAAAAGATATGGCTGGAACCTCTGAAAGCATATCTTATGGCACTGTACAATAAAATAACCTATACCCTGTCTCCATTTAATGCATGCTATGTTTCCATTTAATTATAAGAAACTAATTTCTAAAACAAAAACTTTCATTTTGATTAATCTCTACAGTAGTGAATACAGTTAATAAGTTAATTCATTATTTTACTGAAATGAACTGTAGTTTCACACAAAACAATACTATAAGGAGGCAGAAACTAAATACATTAAGAAACTGCACAGGAAGGCTATTTTGGTTTTCTAATAACAGGTCACCCGATTTCCATTGTGTATCAGTATTATATGAATACTTGTACTTACGAAAATGTGCTTGTTTTGAGCACCTGTTGCTCCAATGAAAGGCTGTTGCGGATACTTTTAATATCAAGCCATTTAGTTCTATAAGCCTTCTATAATTCTGCTGCTGTTTCCTCAATTCTTGTAACAGGAATGTGAAAGTGTAGATTTTGAACTGTGTAAAATAATCCAAATTAAACCTATTTTGTACTAGTCACAAAAGCTCTCATGCACACAGAGGTCATGATGAAATCACAGGGTAATTCTTTGATTATATGCTGTTTATTTTCAGTGAAACCAAAGAATGCTACTGATGTTATCACAGAACTTCTTCACATTTGATGCAAATATGAAAGAGTTATATACAAAGTAATTAAGTGGCACTATTTTAAGAGAAGTAGCCCCAGCCTCTAAAATTATATTAAGTAAAACATATCATATGCATAACTTGTGTAAGCTCCAACTGCACTGCAGCTGCATTACTTTGAATATAAGTGCCACATTAATGATCATTTCTCAAGACAAACTGAATAATTACCTTTTGACATTAGTTAAGAGCAATAAGTTTATCGCAGAAAACTAGTGCAACCTTTTTATTTTTCAGTCTGTTATTCTTATTATAATTCTAAACCATTTTGTAAGCTCGCATTCTTGCAAAATGTGTGTGTTGGAATTTCTACATGTTTTTATGTATGTGTGTATAGTATGCCACATACACATGCGCACACACAAAACCAATTTCATATTATCATTAAATAAAAGAACTTTACAGTACAATGTGATGGACTAAATTCTTGTTCAGGTATTCCTTTATTGTGTTCCCGAGGCACTCTGGACTGAAGAAGTAGAATCCTGATCGGGCAAGAAGGTAAACATGGGAGTGGCTGACTCTGAGAGCCCAGGAGGAAGCACATGGCGACACACAGGACAGGTTCCAGACTAGGCAAAAGAAAACACCACTGAAATTAGTTTCTTATAATTAAATGGAGACATAGCATACATTAAATGGAGACAGGGTACAATTCAGCTCAGGAATTCCAGAGTAGCCAGATGTATAGTCTCAAATACATTTAAGGAAAAACTGCATATTAAAGAAAGCAAAAAAGCTAAAAAGACATAGATTCATATCTTTATGTTGTCTCCTCTAAAAGGCTCATGTCAACTTCATAGTGGTTTCTATGGTATAAATACTACTTTTGATAAAGGTATTAATTTTAATTACATATAAGAGAATATGTTCATGTGAGATTGTTGTTCAATCGCTAAGCCATCGCCGACTCTTTGCGACCCCATGGACAGGGGAGCATGCCAGACTCCCCTGTCCTCTAGTCTTCTGGAGTTTGCACAAATTCATGTTCATTGCATCAATGACACTAACCATCTTCTGCCATCCCCTTCTCCTTTTGCTTTCAATGTTACATGATATACAGAACTCCAATATTGTTAGGTATTTTAATAAGGTGCTTAGTATTAGACACTACATAAGATTCATGTGTTTAAAATATGGCATATATTATCCTAGGAAGCAGGCAAGTATATTTCAGTTAAATTGAGATATTTTCTGATCAAATAGCAATGTCTATGTGACACTTAATTCATTCTCCCATACTCTTTATATATATATAGAATGAGATTAGTTTACAACTGATAAATACAGCAGGGATTTCTGTAATTTTCAAGTTCATGTGATAATCCAGCCACCTTGTCTCATGTAAAAGACTTAACACACTGCTAAAACAATTGTCCAAATTATGATTTATTAAAATAAAAACTCTTCAGAAGTGTTGTGAGATCTGGAAGGGATTGTAAGTTCTCTTCATTAGGTAACTATCAATTTGAAACTGTTACTAGGTAGTCTGAGTGTTCTTAAGAGTATTCACCCCACTTATTAGGGCATATGAAAATCTATTTAATTACTTGGTACATAGTGGAAATTATATTTCCAGTCTTTTTCATAGAGATCCATAGAATGGAATTTCAAACCTTTGAGAAATAATTTAACTTTTCAAGGATAGTGTTATATAACTCATTTTGCAAAGCACCTTTCCAAATGCTTTACCCAAGCCTAGAAGATATTAAATTTATTTTTAATTTTTATTTCTTTATTTGTATCCTACTTTATTATTTTTACAAGTAACTCAAGGCAGCAACTTATCTAACCCACCTTTCTGCTCCCTTCTTTACCCACAACAGCAACCTTGTGAAGTACCATACCAATACAGATAATCAATTACGCACATCAATATACGGTGCTACTGTTGATGTGTTTCCAACCAAGACTGAACTAAACTAAGTCACTGATCTTAAACAGCAAAATCAGTGGGTATTTCTTACTGCCTTGCATACAGATCTAAGAGAGATAATCTGGGTTCAGCTCTACCCTGACAAGACACATCCATGGCTGTGGGTTTTGCCCCCTCTCCCCCCATCCAGTGATTTGCCATCTTTAACTTTGCCTGGAATTATAATTACACCTCACCACCAGTAGTCAGAGATGGGGCACAACTGAAGATTCTCCTGGACTTAATTGTGGCTAGAAGAATTTTTGCCCAAATACACCTCATGTACCAGTTGTGCCCTTTCCTAGATCAGGAGAGATTGCTCAAGGTCACTCATGCCATAGTCAACTGGACTATTGCAAATGTTGGATGTGGGGATGTCCTTGAAAGCATTTAGAAGATACGGATGCTCCAAAATGCAGTAGCTTGGACAGTAGTGATCATATTGCAGTATGCCCAGGTAACACCATCTCTTGATGAACTGCACTGACTTCTGGTAACCTTCTGAATGTAATTCAAAGTGCTGGTTATCATATTTAAAGTGCTATATGGCTCAAGGTCAGGTTACTTTTGCAATTGCCTATCCCTAATAGATGGGGTAGGCCTGCATCAAATTCCCTTATGAAACTGTCACCTGTGGAACCTTGGAAGCATGTCTTGTCTGTTGGCCTTCCAGAAAACAGTGAAGGCCTGGCTTTTGCCAAGGTACTGGGACCATGGTGTGGATGGGATCAGCATACTATATTTGATTGATGTATGCAAGTTTTATCAGAGTCTCAACATTGGACTTTTTTGTTGTTTGTCTAAAATATTTTTGTTCTGTACTGCATTTTTTATCATTGTTGGCCACCCAGAGTTTCTTGTGATAGGTGGCCACAGAAGATAGATAGACAGAGATAGAAATAGAGATAGATAGATAGATAGATAGATAGATAGATAGATAGATAGATAGATAGATAGAAGGGGGGGAGGAGAGAAACAGGTAATAGAGATATAGACATTAAAAAAACCTCCTAGTTTTAAAGCAGCATTAAAGTACAGCATAATTACACACCTTTTGTAACCAAAGCGTTATGCATGTCACGTGAAAGAAGTGGCGACATGGAAGCTCTGTTACAATTTCTTCTTTGATGTACTCACTACAGCAAATAGCACAACACTGTTCTTGCCCTACAGCTTAGGAAAACAATGTATATATTAGTATACAAATGTAAAACTAGGTAATTAAAATTATGGTGAAATAGTTATTAATAAATTAAAATAGTTTTGAAAATAGTCACATTGGACCAAATTAAGTTACAAAAGATAATAATGTATCATATTATTAGATCATATAAAGTTACTTGACCAAAACAGTGAGTATGTAATTTATCCTTACCATTGTGATCTTCTGTAATAATAATTTGTGGCAGACAATCTATGCTCTCTTTACTAGCTGGTGGATGAGCCTGCTCAACATCAATCGCAAGAGACTCTAGATGAGCTAGAGCGGTCTAGAAAAATACATGAAAAGAAACAAGCACATAATTATATATACGTGTAAGCATGTGTATCTGTACAATCACTGTGTAGGATTTGTAACTATAAACTAGATATAAATTTCTTCTATTTTACAGAAATGAAGGCCATATTAATTAATATACATGACATTAACAAAGTTCTATAGTAAACATTAATTATATCATGAAAAATTATAATATAAACTTTGTTAATTAACTTGAGTGTATTTTATTAAGGTGGGTAACTGTCTATTCCAATTTCAATTGCTTTAGTAATAGTGTGACATTGTCATGAATTATGGCTTTTTTTTTTCAATTACTTGTACTTGTAACTTGAAATTGGACCATAAAAATAGTGGCTTTAATAATCTAACACTAAGGAGGTATATATAAATAATGTCATCTTTTTAAATGCCACATACAGAGACATTTCTTTTTCAGTTTCCCACATTTCTAAGCAACAACTATCTCTCCTAATGCATGCTTTATTGCTCATTAAGTTGAATCTTTATTTCAGTCATTGATCAGTGTAAGTATTGCTTAGGAGAAAAGGACAGTCCACCATGCATGCTTATATGAAGTACTTAAGCAGCCACTACTATCTACTTCATAACTTTCCAGAAAGTCTTATTAGAATGTTTACGGAGAGAATGGTCACCACTAAGCTGACAGCCAAGACAAACCTATGTAGAATAATTGCCTATGAGATAAAGAGCAGTTCCATATATTTGGGATAGAATACCCATTTTCTCAGATTGCAAATATAATTTCCATATTAGTTAGAATTGTGAAATTCCAGTTCAACATATTTGGAAGGCAGCAAGTTGGAGAAGGCTTGTTTTTCATCTTGTTTCTACCTGTTATAATTTCAATCAAGTTTTCATTTATCAGACCACAAGTTTATACAGTATGAAAAGATTGCTACGTTTGGTGAACAAATGCCAAATTTCATATTCAACAACTCCCAGAATTCCTCAGCTGGCTGTATCAAGCCTAATATAAAGATTTTTGTTCTTAGAAGGATTGTAACCAATTCTGGCAATATAATTAATTATCTGTGCTTCTATAAGTGCCATTTATTCATTTATGTACTTTCACAAAATTGACATTTTTAAAGCACTTGTATCAATGGAATAAATATGTTCATTGCATAATAACCATGTCATTGAGATAACTTTGAATTTAATGGATTTTTTGATTTAACAGACATCCTTTCCCCCAGTCTGTTAATTCAAGGTTTTGCTTATTCATACATCTGACAGAATCTCACTTTGCTGGGTCAATAACAATAAAATGCATAATTATGTAATTATCTATGCATTTAATAAAACATTCTTTATCTAATGAATGTCCCTTTATAGCATGGGTATCAAACTCGATCGTGTCATGTGACGTATTGTGACTGTTTTTGCGTTTGTGCAGCCAGAGTGGGCGTGCCCTGCACATGGTGCATCTGGCCCACAGGCCACCAGTTTGACAGAGATAAACTGCTGTTTTGGAGGGACATTTTCAAAGTTCAGATAACTTAGTAATCAAGTAAGAAAGTTACTAGTTGAATTCATTTAGCTTGAAGGAATCCAGAATGAAACACTTTATGCTCCTCAATTCATATTAGTTGGTTACTACTGCACAGAAAAATCTCAACTGATAAGCTCCACTGTTGGCAGCTTAAAAATGTGATTGTTTACAATGAAAGCAACACATTCAAAACCATCACAGCATAGTACATAAGGTGACTAGGATAGCAGCTTCTGTTTAAAAAAGCAATGAAATAAAAATAACATTTACCATGATGTCTTAATATATATATATACCTCATTTGCCTCTTTGCCTGTGCAACAAATGAACAAATACCGTATTTGCCGGCGTATAAGACGACTGGGCGTATAAGACGACCCCCCAACATTTCCACTCAAAATATAGAGTTTGTTATATACTCGCCGTATAAGACTACCCCCTCTTCCGCACACCTTCCACATACCAAATAAAAGGTATCATAAAAGGAACATCAGATTTGATTTCAACATGTTAATTTATATTCAAATGCTTATGACATGCAGGAAAACTCACAAGGCTGTGAAAGTATGCCAAATAATAGAACATAAGTAATTTTCCGATTCAGAGCAGGTTATAGTTCATAGTTTTATAAAATGTGTGTGTGTGCCTAAATTTCAAATTACCCATTTACCATGACTTGTCATGGACAGGCAACTTTATTAAAAGAATTTTATTTCAGCTAAGCCGGAAAGACACAAATAGGGCCTGCAGAAGCATAATTTTCACTCTGATATTAATTGTGGCAATGTTGCATTTTAAACTAGCCATGATTAATTATATCCAAATTTTCACACCCACACTCCCCTTCCTTTAGCTTTCTGAAAACCCCACATTTGCAGATCCCATTTTAGCAATGCATCTAAGATTTGACTTGCCAGCCACTATCATTAAATTATGCTTGCTAAAATATGAACTTGAAATATGAACTACCCTGCAAAGCTGCCCATAATGAAGATAAGTTGATCTTGATGTCAATCCTCCTCAGCCTTTCACTTGTCTTTTACTTGATACCGCTGCCAAACCTGCTTTTCCATCGATACCAGAGTAAAAAGGTGACATTGCTCCCCGCAGCAAGAGAAGACAATGTGGGATGTGAGAAAGAGGAGAAATCGCAGTGAAATTAAGGAAATTAGGCGTTTGTGTTTTTTTTCCTTTCCCCCTTCGGGACTGGATCTAGAAAGTTGTCATTTTAACATGATCGCTCCCCTTCTTCTCTTCCCACCCCCAACCTCTGTTTCGTCTTTAAAGAGAAAAAGACACCCATTCTGCTTTATTGTATCTGACATAGTGGGCTTTAGTTCAGAAGCTGATGTCACTCAACAGGCAAGTCCTTTCGGAAAACGCCAGGCCCTGCCTGGTCTTACCCAACGCTGCTTGCCAGGGATCTGGCAGGAAAGAAGGAGTTCCAGATCCTTTTTCTTTCTAGCCTCTCCACCTGCCTTTCCCGAGTCCATCCAAGGACGCGCCTGAAAACCAGGTTGATTCTGGGTAACGTCTAAGCCCCAGAGGCGGGGTCCGATCAGTCCCTTCGCCCAGCTCCACAAAAGGTGAAATCGCCAGCGAAGCAAAACAAACGGAAGGAAGAAACCGAGCAAGCCGGGTCAAGAGCTGCGCTACCTCTAGCTGAGCCTTAGCGGTAGTAGGGACCCACATCCCACCTCCGCCCCACCTCAGCGAGAGGGAGCCGGCCGGATTGCGGGGCGTAATCCCTCCCTGGCAGAGCTACGGGTAACCCGACGCTCAAGGCTACAACTGAATGCAAAGTCCCCGCTCTGAGATCTGCAGCTAATTTACGAGGAACCCTTTGCAATTCGCCAGCGCCTGCTATGACCTCAAGGAGAGGGAGAAGCGAGCCACCTCACCAACAAGGCGAAGAATATACCCGTATTTGCCGGCGTATAAGACGACCCCCCCCACTTGGAGGCATGTTTCTCAGGGCAAAAAAGTCGTCTTATACGCCGGCAAATACGGTAATCAAATAAAAAGCAAGAGCTAGCATTCACAAGGGTCTAGCCGTGCAGTGTAAAACAGTGTAAAATCATACAACTAATCTAATAAAGTAAGTTTGAATATTGTTCAGAGTAAGAAAGTACACACTTTGAAAATGTAATCTTCTAAGCATTTTTAAATTACATTTTCTTAATCTTTATGACAAGTATAATAAATTAAACTAAGCTATACTGTAAGATTTACATTCAATATTGGTTCTGTAGTTAGTATATGGCAATGTCTGAGAAAAAACCACAACCCAATCCAACAGTGTTAGATGGTGACACTGTTAATTCATTGCTAAAATTATTAATCAAACAAATCTTTGATAGTAAATTCAGTAAGAATTTAAATAGTGCCATGGCTTTTACATAATTGGGCCAATGTTTCTCTTTCCAATTAGACATGCCTTGTTTTTCATTTGCCTGATTCTTCTGCCTTCTGCACAAAATGAAAAAAAAGATGAATATTTAAATGCCCTTGTACACACAATATTGATGTAGACACAATCATGGGAAAGTGAATACATGAAAAGAATTGAGAAATTAGTTGTAGCTGAATTATATATGTATAATTTATATGTATGGTATTCAGCTTTGTTCGGGTATTTTCCCACGTCATTATAGTTGTGCTTTTAAAGTACAGAAGCCTAATGATGGCAGATGAGATTCTGCCGAAATGTTGCTACAACTTTAAAAGCACAACTATAATGACGTGAGAAAATACCCGAACAAAGCTGAATACCATACATACATACATACATACATACACATACACACACACACACACACACACACACTGTGTGTGTGGGGGGTATATGTTATCTGAAGCTCAGAATTAATTCTAAATTAATATATCTTTCTTCCAGTTGTTATAAAGTCATTTCTAACAATGCAAGCTATAAAAACTGTGGTTATGTCAGAAGGCACAGAAAACTGATCTATATTTCCTAAAATGTGATCTATGACCCATTACCAGTTCTTGTGCAAAAAAAAAAAAAAAATCTACTTAGGAAATACACAGATACTCATTCTCTTTCTACTCTGAAGAATTGCAAACTTGGCAATATTCTGTGCAGAAGGGAATAAAGTAATCACTGCTTTAAAATTTCCAACTACAGTATTGGTAATCAGGCCACTTAAGCCTTAAAAGAATTAACTTTATGGATACACAAAAACCTGGCTTTCAATTTGTACATGAAACTAATTGCCCCCCTCTGAAACAACAGATAAAAGAAACTATGGATAATGAGAACTACCTGAACATCTTCTGAGGTGAACTAATTAGGATACTACTTTAAAAAAATCAAGTACCTTTAAGTATGATTCACTAAGAGCTATCGTATAATTATTTTCTACTTTTAAAAACCTTACTAATGTATTCTTTTAATAACAAATGTTTTAGTTATATATGAACATTCCAACCAATAGTCAAGACAAGTTATCTAT